CTCTCTCAGCGCTGAGGCTGGGCCCTCGTCCTGAGCACCAGCTGAGGGCAGTGGGTGAGCCGGCCCACCTGGCTACAGGGCCTTGGGCATGCGGCTTAACCTTTCCTCATCTGTACCAAGATGGGCCTCAGTTTCCCCATCCACCCCTGCCGTGGGTCACGGGGATCAGAGGAGTCAGCCAGTCCGTGGAGACCACTCAGAGGTGCCCAGTGTACAGTGGGTGCTGGGCAAGTGGCGTTGAAGAAAGAGACCGGCCGGGCCTGGTTCCCGCCCGGCTCCTGGCTGGCCCGCCGGTGACCTGCCCCTCTCGCCCCCTCCCTGCAGTTCATCTCGGACTCCATCATCGAGGTTCTGCAGAGCAAGCTCAGCGGGGACTTCGGGGCTGACGCCCAGGGCGCCATGAAGAAGGCCCTGGAGCTGTTCCGGAACGACATGGCTGCCAAGTACAAGGAGCTGGGGTTCCAGGGCTAAGCCCCCCGAAACCCCCACGCCCACCCCCACCCCCCTGGGCCCAGGCTGCAGGGCAGGGTGGGGACCGAATCTCACATAGTTGTGTAGAGTTTGCTTCTGCTGTCTGTTTTGTGTCTGAGTGGTGGGTGGGAGCGGGGTGGGCAAGGCGGCTTCGGGGCACGGCTCCCCATGGAGGAGCATCACCGTGGGAACAGGGAGAAGCCTGGCGTCGGCTCACTGGGGCCTGCAGAGTTTGGGTTGTATTTACCTCTCCTCTCACTTAAATCCCAACCCAATTCCTTCCAACCTCCAAACTGATCCATCCCTGCCTCCTCACCTTGCACCCCAAATCTAAGCTGTAAACAAAGCCCCAGCCATGGTCCCCCTCTGGCACATCACCCGGCCCCGAGACAGTCGGATGTCCCTTGACAAAGAGAAGGAGGTCTGGGCCGGGGTGGGACAGCCACACCCAGCCCCGGGGGGGCGTGGGGTGCCTGGGACAGCCGTGTGCCCTCTCAGCTGATGGAGGGACTCACCTGGTTTAATAAAAGACTCTGTTACACCACAGTCTCCGCCTGGAGTTTTCATCCCTCGAGCAGGTGAAGGGGCTCCCAGGGAGGCGGGTGGGAAGGCAGAAGTGGGACTCAGTGTGCGGAGCCCAGCGTGGGGGGAGGGGGAGGAGGGCCTGGGGAGGCGTGGAGGGCAGGGGAGGTGGGTCAGGGAACTGCTTCCCGTGGGCCCCTACCCAGTGACAGGGACAACGCTGGGCTCAGGGAATGGAGGGGGAGCCTCGTCTGGTGGGGAAAGGGGGCCGCTCAGCAGACCTTTGTCACTTGGGCTGCTCGGTGCCAGGAGCAGGGGCACAGACCCAGGGGAGATGGCAGGTCAGATCAACGGAAGCCACAGGCCAAGGACTCTGGCTTGTAAGTGGCAGCGCTGGGCTCAAGTGGTGGCCTGGGAGGCGGGGGGCCTCCAGCGAGGGAGACCGCTCGGCGGCCAGCCCGTGACAAGTGCTGACCTTCTGGCCACAGAGAAAGGACAGACACAGGGGAGCAGCTCACACACAGGAGCCAAGAGACAGAATCCATATCTACCAAGGCCAAGTGCTCGGGCGGAACCCGTGAGTCTGACTTCAGGGACCCAGAATAACACACTGGCAGGTGCCCGCGGCAGCCAGGAAGCCAGCTGGAGCGGAGGCCGCGGGCAGGGGCGTGGACAAGGGCCTGGTGGTCTGGGTCCCTCTGGGCGCTTAAGCCTTGAGGGCCTTGAATAGCATCCAAGATTCAAAGCACCAACTCTGGAGGCCCCATCAATTTCCAGGGGCTCCCGGGAAGCAACCCAGTGGCCCCGCCCTCGAGGTCCTTACCGGGGCTCAGCCCCCTGGAATGAGTCCGACCTCCCTGCCCCCAACCCCAGCCCGCACCAAGGGTCATGGCCGCTGAACAGGGCAGAGCTCATCCGCTCAATGCAGACCCCTCTCAGATCCTGGCAGACTCACTTGCCAGGCCCTATTGCAGCATCAGATGACAACATTAAAGGGCCCACCTCCCTCTGTCTGCGTCTGCATCTGCACCCGAGCCCGGCTTGGGACCTGGATGATCTTGGAGGAGGTGGGAGAGAGGGGAGGGGAGGGCATAGGAGAGGGTGCTTTCTGATCTTGGAGCCTGGAAAAAATTCCGTGCGTTTATAGTAACTCAATCGAACGCCCAGGCCCTGGGCACTTCTGCTCAGGCTACGTGTGCAGGATTTAAAACAGAGGAGGCTGGTTCCTGCCCCCAAACCACTGACAATCCAGTCGGGGAGACCATGTGCTCGATGACTGAACCGGGGCAGAATGCGATTAGGGATGCAGAGAAGTGCCCGCCATTTGTCATTCGTTCAGTGCTCATTCCACGGATATTTGTGGGTCACAGCCGGTGAAAACAGTCTCAGTTTATACTGTTGATGGGCACAAAATGCCTTTTTTTAAATAAGTCAACTGAATTTTGGTTTGGAATCCTCAGTGGGCTGGGTGGCAGATACTTCCTCTGTCTCGAGGCTTCTCCCCAGTTCCAAGCTTCCTTGGGATTTTGCTGATTCTAAGGCCTTGCAAGTTGTGGCACCTGAGGACGGGGGGGGGTTTCAATGAGTGGAGCAGGGGCAGGAGTCAGGGCCCAGGACAGCCATGTGACCTCTCCCCAGACTGTGAGGCTCGCTCTGTGACTGCCCACCCACTGTGAGCGCCGGCTCTGGGACTGCCCACCCCCTGTGAGCACCGGCTCTGGGACTGCCCGCCCCCTGTGAGCACCGGCTCTGGGACTGCCCGCCCCCTGTGAGCACCGGCTCTGGGACTGCCCGCCCCCTGTGAGCACCGGCTCTGGGACTGCCCGCCCCCTGTGAGCACCGGCTCTGGGACTGCCCGCCCCCTGTGAGCACCGGCTCTGGGACTGCCCGCCCCCTGTGAGCACCGGCTCTGGGACTGCCCGCCCCCTGTGAGCACCGGCTCTGGGACTGCCCGCCCCCTGTGAGCACCGGCTCTGGGACTGCCCGCCCCCTGTGAGCACCGGCTCTGGGACTGCCCGCCCCCTGTGAGCACCGGCTCTGGGACTGCCCGCCCCCTGTGAGCACCGGCTCTGGGACTGCCCGCCCCCTGTGAGCACCGGCTCTGGGACTGCCCGCCCCCTGTGAGCACCGGCTCTGGGACTGCCCGCCCCCTGTGAGCACCGGCTCTGGGACTGCCCGCCCCCTGTGAGCACCGGCTCTGGGACTGCCCGCCCCCTGTGAGCACCGGCTCTGGGACTGCCCGCCCCCTGTGAGCACCGGCTCTGGGACTGCCCGCCCCCTGTGAGCACCGGCTCTGGGACTGCCCGCCCCCTGTGAGCACCGGCTCTGGGACTGCCCGCCCCCTGTGAGCACCGGCTCTGGGACTGCCCGCCCCCTGTGAGCACCGGCTCTGGGACTGCCCGCCCCCTGTGAGCACGGCTCTGGGACTGCCCACCCCCTGTGAGCACGGCTCTGGGACTATGCCCACGGACTGTGAGCACCCGCTCTGGGACTGCCCACTCATTGTGATCACCGGCTCTGTTACTGCCCACCCACTGTGTGAGGCCTGCTCTGTGACTGCCCACCCAATGTGAGCACCAGCTCTGTGACTGCCCACCCCCTGTGAGCACCAGCTCTAGGACTATGTCCACCCGCTGTGAGCACCGGCTCTGGGACTGTGTCCACAGACTGTGGCTCTCCGGGCGAAGCCGGATGGAGACGTGGGAGAGGACACGAGAGGCCTGGTGTGGGGCGTCAGCTGTGAGGAGTGCGCGTGACGAGCCGCGGGAGCTTGGCTTGGCCTTGGCGGGCAGCGCTCGGGGTGTCAGGTGAGAACAGAGCGCTCCACGGGCTTCCTGAGGCACAGCAGGAACTGGCACGCGCTTGTCGTTTTATCAATAATTTTAATGGCATCTCTGTGTGTCTCATTGTTCTCTCTCTCTCTCTCTCTCTCTCTCTCTCTCTCTCTCAAATCAATGAAAATATATTTTTAAAAAAGTGAATTATACACTGGCTGCTATGAGGTTGGGCTAAAGAATAAAATCAAGTACTCACAACTGGGAAAACACACTCAACCCTGGGGTGTTTAAAACACACAGAGATCCTTCTGAC